AAGGTTTTTAAATGCTATTTCATATGTTTTAAGTCGGATTTAAATAATCAGAACTGGAACCTTGAGTGAGGAAAAATTCTCAATTTAGTAGGATATTTCCCAGTTGAAGGGTCTGTAAAATCTAAACTTAGATTTGGTTGAGATTAACACAAACAGGGCAGGAGGATTTGACCCAAAGACAAAGGTACAGAGGTGGTACATGAAGGTATAAAGTTGAAAGCAAAGGAGATCACCACTCGATTTTGGGGACAAAGATTTTGAAAAAAAATATCCTATCCACTGAATATAAAGTTTACAATGTATTTCATAACATATCTCAAAGTATTTGTTTAAAGTCATATGAAACGAGTTTCTTGAAATTTTAATGTTATCGAAATTATTGAACCAATACATGCGTATATACTAGACTAAGTCTTGCATGCACATTTTTTTTAATATTTTTTTACACACCAATAACGTATTATTGACAAATAATATTTCGTTCAGTGGTTGTTGATCGCAAGCTAATTAACATTCGAGTTTGTTGCCGAAGTTTACCGGATCGTGACATTGATAAACAATAAAAACAGAACACGTGGAAAGTATGACAAATAAGTGAATCGAAAGAGTCATAACATTTGTTTTTATATTTTCCATGTGTTCCCATTTGTGAATGAACTATTCCTTAATAGTTTTTTTAATGATTTGTTACATAAAACTTGTTTTTTAAAAAACTGTTATTTCTATTTACCTTCAAGAGCACGTGTGTTTACATTCTTTCATCATGGATTTCATTCTCGCACTTGCGCTGTGCGATGGCCGAAGTTAAAACGAAAGGTCTCGTAGTTAATGTCGTTGCATACGGGAAAATATCGGCGAATTAGTTTCTGGGAAGTCAATAATTCAATATCGGTACATCAGTAGACCGTTGGTTTTTCCGTTTGAATGGTTTTACACAATTTTGGGGGGCCCTTTATAGCTTGCTGTTCGGTGTGAGCCAAGGCTCCGTGTTGAAGACCGTACTTTGACCTATAATGGTTTACTTTTATAAATTTTGACATGGATGGAGAGTTGTCTCATTGGCACTCATACCAAATCTTCTTATATCTATTTATGAAGATTTTGATAATATAAAGGATTTTTTCTTTTCAAAAAAAGATTACGTTCACTTCTTTTAGAGTAAAACTTAGCCATTCAAGTATATAAAACATGTTCGACTTTTTTTAAATTTGAAGTTTCATATGACATAAAAATATCTTTAAAAAGATATGAAATATCTTATTAACTTTATATGATATCCAATTGTGTTTCAACAATTATGTTTATTTTTTGTTAGTTAACAAGATATTTTATAATCTTCAAATTAAACAAGAGGCTCTCAAAAGCCTGAATCGCTCACCTGTAATTTTTTGCTTAAATCTTTCATCAATGATTATTTTTGCTTTTCAATATATATTAATGAGTGGCTTAAAAATGCCATTTAAATGTTCTTTGTATCTATCATATTTTCTTCAAAGGCAAAAAAATGCATTTTCATATAATTAAAATCATCAATTCAGGGGTAATAACCTAAAAATCAGATACCCGATTTGGATGATAATTTCACGGCAGGTAGACATTGACCTAATGAATACTTTAACTTCTTGTCTGATTTGCTCTAAATGTTTTAGTTTTTGAGATATAAGTCAAAAACTGCATTTTACCCCTATGTTCTAATTTTAGCCATGGCAGCCATGTTTTCTGAGGAAACAGAAAATAGACATAAACTTTATTCTAGATAACCTAAGAATCATTCAGCTTAAGTTTGGTTTAATTTGGTTCAGTAGTTTCAGAGGTTTTACCCCTATGTTCTATTTTTAGCCATGGCGGCCATGTTTTTTGACGAAACAGAAAATAAAACACAGACTTTATTTTAGATACCCTAAGGATCATTCACTTAAGTTTGGTTGGAATTGGTTCAGTAGTTTCAGAGGAGAATATGTTTGAAATAGTTTACACCGGACGGACGACGACGGATGACGACGGACGCCAAGTGATGGCAAAATCTCACATTTTATTTGGAAAGGTGAGCTAAAAAGATATCTCATTAAGAATTATATTTAACTTAATAATATATCTTAAAATTGAATAATATAAATACGGCTTGCCATACAAAGGTACAGGGAAATAAAACTTTCCTTTCTAGCTCACCTTACTCAATGGGCCATGTGAGCTTTTCTCATGACTTGGCGTCGTCGTAGTGCGTTAACTTTTACAAAAATCTTCTCCTCTGAAACTACTGGGCCAAATTTAACCAAACTTGGTCAGAATCATAATTAGGGTATCTAGTTTTAAAAATGTGTGCGATGATCCCGCCTGCCAACCAACATGGTCGACATGGCTAAAATTAGAACATAAGGGTAAAATGCATATTTTTGCTTATATCTCTGAAAATAAAGCATTTACAGCAAATCTGACAGGGGTTAAAATGTTCATCCGATATAGATATATCTGCCCTGAAATTTTCAAACAAATCAGACAACTCGTAGTTGGTTTGCTGCCCCTAAATTGGTAATTTTAAGGACATTTTGCAGTTTTTGGTTATTAACTGAATATTATTTTGGATAGAGATAAACTGTAAACAGCAATAATGTTCAGCAAAGTAAGGTCTACAAATAAGTCAAATGACCAAAATGGTCAATTGACCCCTTAAGGAGTTATTGCCCTTTATAGTCAACTTTTAACAATTTTTTGTAAATTTTTGTAATCTTTTACAAAAATCTTCTCCTCTGAAACTACGGAGACAAATTTTACCAAACTTGGCCACAATCATCATTAGGGTATATAATTTTTAAAAAATGTGTCCAATCACCCCGCCTACCAACCAACATGGCCGATATGGCTAAAAATAAAACATAGGGGTAAAATGCAAATTTTGTGTATTATTTTTTGAACCGTTATAAATAGAGAAAATATGAAAGGAGCAAAAATGTTCAAAATAATTACCTCTACCAATTGTCCATACACGTCAATGCATTTATATGACATTAAAATTTGTATTTTGTAGACAAATTCTTACAGGAATTATTGCCCATAAATGACAAATTTTACCATTTTTTTTCATTTTTGCCTATTATCATGAAAACTATGATATTCAGAGGGAAACATTTGTTTCTGTTATGCCTTATATGTTTTAATTTAAAGTAGATAAATAGACACTTATTTGCTGATATAGTTAGTAGACTGTCACTCTGCATAGGAGTGATTGTCCTTAAATGAAGATTTTTTTAACCATCACTTGTGTTTTGAGCAAAAACTAAAGAAGATAGAGAGAAACTAAACAGACTAGAAGATAAGTAATACAAGATAAACAAAATAGAGATTATGTCATGAAGTCTATTCTCGTGTACAATGTTGGAGAGTCTTTTGTTTGATATGCACATAGACCAAGGTGAGCGACACAGGCTCTTTAAAGCCTCTAGTTCTCATTGCCATTTAAGGCATCAGATATCTATTGCATTGTGCATTTTTATAAAATATTTTTCATTTAGTCTTTAGTCCTATGTACATACATGTTTAACCTATGACCCCCCCTTTTGTATTTTGTAATTAATTAGTAATCAGTTGCTATTTAATAAAGTTTCATCTTCATTCACCAATTCAAAATTTGTCAAACTGAAATATTTATATGAATGTTTAATTCAAGGCTGATTAAAATCCAACAAGCAGCATACTTTAGGATTATAAATACTGTTTTTACTTTTCAGTATGTTGAGAGAAATTCAGAGTAAGCGTTCCCCTTCCCTTTTCACGAATGTGACCTACCGAATTCGACTATTTACCGGCTTTGTAACAAAATAAGCAATACGAAGGGTGCCACATATGGAGCAGGATTTGCTTCTACTTCCGTAGCACATGAAATCACCCCTAGATTTTGGTGGGGTCCATGTTGTTTTTGTACCCCTTTTAGTGAAATTTTGTTCACGCATCATTGTCAATATAATGGAAATTAATGCGACTGTCGTACAAGTGAGAGGTTTAGCGCTATAAAACCAGGTTCAATCCACCATTTTCTACATTTGAAAATGTCTGTACCAAGTCAGGAATATGACAGTTGTTGTCCATTCGTTTGATGTGTTTTATCATTTGATTTTGCCATTTGATTAGGGACTTTCCGTTTTGAATTTTCCTCGGAGTTCAGTATTTTTTGTGATTTTACTTTTTGTTGGAAAATGAATCACAGTGGTCAAGACATCGTTTTTGAATAAATGAAATTGTATAAGAAGTGAAGCCTTAACAGTCAGGAGATAATATACCAGTATGGCCTTTATGAAAAGTTAATATCCAAAATTAATAAATCGAGGAAAGGTTATTTTCCTCGACGTCTACGGATTTAATAATTTGGAATATTAATTGTTCATGAAGGAATAAAATGCATTGTTTCTGTAATGAAAACCACACAAATACAATCAGATGAACAGATGAACATATTTTCTGCATTCTGATATTCTAAAATATTAACTGTTCGACACAGAGCAGAAAATATTTTAATCGGTCCATATATGTGCTGTGTACTCGACTATTTTTAAGAGAATAACGAGTAAAGCAAAAATTAAAACTAATAACCAAATTTAAATTCTTATGGATTATAATAGTAAAAACAACCACAAACAATACTTCTTCGAAGAATTACAGAGAAAAATTCGAAGAATTGCACAAGTTTTAACTGTACAATTTTGAATGCTAGAAATTTAAGGATTTCCCCGAGGAATTAAAGAACAGAATATCGACACAAATTTGGTCAAATTATTCTATGCGACATGTTTCGTTTATTACACCCTACCAACATGACTCCCATCATATCAAGGGTAACAGTTCAATACTTTGACATATAAACAAATATTTCTTTTTTTGGTATTAGGCCTAAAATAAAATATTGTTTGTTTCCCCAATCCCGACCGACCCGGAAAAATCGCCGCGACCGGAATAATTTTATTGCTGATTTTTGTGTAAAAAATTTTTTTATCAAAATTCGTGTGGTGGTGCGGTGCTCCTATGAAATGGAGGAGTCAAATACATAAGACATAAGAAGGAGACGCTGTTCTTCAAAGCGCCTTTGTAATCGGCATAGTTGAAAACGCCTTGATGACGCTTCTTGGCTTTCTTCTTCCACGTGGTCTCGGGTCTTTACGATATTCTCTAGATTGTTCATACATTTAAATGTCAGAACATGGACGCCGTTCTGTCGGTTTTGGTTGCCGTTTATTCGGCTGGAAACTTTAAGAAAGACTTGGTAACAAAAGTGTTGTGCAGATTTTCGAAGAAGGAAATATTTGAAGACATATGTGAGGACGGTATAGCCGATTTAAAATTGACGGAAGAGGAGGAGGATGCTCTTGACAAAAACACATCCGTGTATCCATTTCTGAAAAAAGTGGTTCTACAGAAATATTTAGTCCACACTACGGTGATGACATGAACCTGGCACTAGACTTTAATAAAGACTTTAAGTTTTTGAAATTTTGCATTGACATTGATGGGACCTCTACAGAAAAAGAAGCCTACTCCTCAAATATTGTCAATACCTTTGACAAAATGATGGGAGCTGTCAACAAACTTCCTAAGCGAAAAGAAGAAGCTATTAACAAGTTTACAGGTATGCATAATAAGTGACCGTCCCAACATCTATTTCTTGCAAGCAAAGGTAGACTTTTTTAGGATAAGGAGAGTCTCCCCACCTTTGTTTGCATTCTTTTTCTTGTTTTCTTGCAAATTTTCAAACCCTTAACCTAAATTCCCTAATGATTTCCTTATGCCCTTACTAATTTGACCCGAGGCCTGAAAGCAATTGATTTAAATTAATCATTTGGTCCCTAATAAAAGCAGACCACTCCACACTAGTCTCGTAAAAGCAGACACAGCCCATACTTCTCTAAAAAGAAGGCTGCCACAATGGTAGCGTGCTCGCCTCTAGTACGGTGGCTTCAATCCCCGATGGAGTCACTGAACCAAAGGCTTTAAAATTGGTATTTGCTGCTTTTCCGCAAAAAAGTCTCTAACTGTTCAAGAATCCAGAGCATTCGACAGACTGCTAACCAAGTACGACTACTATTGTGGATCTGTTATCACACCTGAAGGTTTGCTTTTATAGTATTCCCAAAAGATTTTCTTATCACTTTTAATATATAATAACATGGTCTTGCATAGCATGATTTTGTGAACCAACATTGAATGAAAGTTCCACATTTAACACACAATAAAATATTCATACACTCTCAGTTGACTGTATTTTATATGCATGTTCCATTGAGTTATTCAGTGTTTGATATGGTTTCAATGTTTAAATCCTTCTTTCAGTGGAAAATTGCATACTTCATTCTAGTAGTACACTCTCTGACATTGAACTTGGACAGATTTCTGACAAATTATACTGCTTAATATAATAAACAGAAGGCTCAGTATTTTAGACATTTTATTCATTGAAAATTCCCAATATATATATACAAAGTACTCTAGGATATTATTTTTTATTTATTAAAGATCTCTGTTGTTCTTTTATTTCAGGTGATGCTCTTGAAGGCGTGGTGAATGTGCGCCTACAGATAGACTGTAATACACATGTGGAATTTCCGTATTATGCCTCTACCCTGGCACAGCCCGATATCTGTGCCTTCTGTGCAGCTGTGGGGTCAACAAATTCAAGATGCCATTAAAACACATCGTATTGTTCTACTAGTTTGCAGAGACTGTGTCATTATTGGAAAATTACCACCCAAGAGAAACCCAATTAAATAAATTATTTCAAATTATACATAGAGTTTTATTTAATATATCTCACATGAGGAAACTGATAGCTTGATACACCCTAGAATTTAAAATACTGCCCTATAATGATGGTTTGTAATTTCCTATTTACAAGTACCAAAAAAAACAAATTTACCAAAAAAATAAAATAATTTACCTACCTACCTATCCACACCTGACTTGATAGGGTCGGGTTTGGGGAAACAAACAATTATTTATTTAAAATGTGAACGCCCGGAATTCTATGTTTACAACAATACTGTAATCACGTTGTGTAACATTATACCCAGATATATGTAATTTTATTCACATCCATAAATTCCAACCTGTTGAATTATATATATATTAATTGTGGATAAAACAAAGCTGTTATAAAACAGCATCCACAGAGGAGATAAACTTCAGTTTGGGGTGAAAAGTTAAACTATAAAACTGTAAGAGTCGGGCGATCACCGCGAAATCATACTAATCAGTGTTTTAATATCACGAAATCTCCGTATTTTATGTATATTTGTTCTAAAATAAAAGTATCAATACATCATTTTGGGAAATACGAAACGGTTAATTGCCCATAATGAAATTCCAAGCTTTTCAAATATTTTATAATTATGTATTTGTGTATCTTCGATAAAATAAAAAATCAAAGCGTTTGAATTTAAATTAGCAGAATTGAAGTGAAGTGTTTCACGCGATCATGTTCTATCTGTTGTGATCCTGCGAAGGGCCTGTTTTATACATTTTTGGGGGCTGTTTCTGTTCTAAAACCATGATGTACGTTTCATAATGAGATACAACAAAGGTAAGATATGTATATTGAATACCTAAGCTTTCAATAAATTTCTTTTTTTTTGGTACAATTGTATCTTCAAAATTAAGGGCAACAAGCGTTTGTAAATAATTACGATAGAACTGGAACCAAATATTCATGAGGGTCTGGATAGGGGTTCCTTTATATCTTTATTCTTTAATTTTTTAGATCATTTTTCTATATTTATTATGTATTGTGCATGCCCATTATTCTTTATTCTTTATAATTGTTCACCATACTCTTCTCTATTTTTTTATTATCATTTTTGCCAATTTTTCTCTATTCTTTATTTATTCTGCACCTTTTTTTTTACCATTATTCTCTTTTCTGTAAACCCCATCCAGACTCTCATTCATCAGTGCCAAACAGAACATAAATTTATGTGGCTTTAACAGAGAAAGATATTTTAATGTTGCCATTTAATTCATGCATTTTTTTATTATCAGTTCAGCAGTTTAATGATGTCCATTGATAATTGTGTAGAAAGTGTGTTTATATCAGCTACTTAATTTGATAATAAATCCTGTATCGTGACAGTTCACATCATCTTTTGGGTAGATATATATGTCTATTAGTAGGCTATAACGCATGTGTAACATATGGTTCTATTTTCACTTCCGGCTCTTAATTGACATAGGTTCTGTTTTCACACACGCTGATGGGTACTGTTGACGCATTTTGGTTGTGACTTGGCTCAATATGGCGAATGGGGAAAGACATAACTACATAGTGGTTATGTATGTATGCTCTGTATAAGCCTCCTTTTTTAAGAGCACCGCCATAAGTTATGGTGTAAAGGAGAACATTTAGCCTACTCAGTCACTGTATTTGCACAGGTCAATGTGAGCATTTGCAGGACCTTGAATTATATTAAGGGATGTAGACAGCTGCCTCCTATTGTGGGCCGATCAAAAGGATATAATAAATGATAGAAAAGGAAATCAAAAGAAAAAATAATATGTTATTTGATAATTCTCGTCTTTACACCGGACATATGTTTTAATGCAAGACATAATAGTGTCCTGTGTAAAAGTGTCTGCCTGGACAGTTTTTCACAGAATTAAAGTATTAAATAATGTCCATTGCTATGAAATTTTGTCTCTTAAAAGGACAGAATTTTACAGCAACAGTTATGAAAAGGCAGTGTCTGCGCGTACCCGCATGCGGGCGGAGCGTCTTTTTACCACAGAACACCACAGAATACCACAGAACACCACAGAATACCACAGAACACCTAAAATATACCACAGAACACCTAAAATATACCACAGAACTACACAAATTACAATAAAACTACTGAAATATACCACAGAACATTAAATTACTTTATAAAACGCAAATCTAATAATTCATAATTATATTATTTCTTAAATTCGGTTACACCAATGACATGACGATTGACTGGATGAGATAAAAATGATCATGACTTTTTTGTTATTTGGCATATTTTTTACATTTGGAGACCTTTGAGACACTAAACTAATGCATTGTAATAATGAAAATATAAAAAAAACATTTAAAAAATAGTTTAGAGCAAAACAATTACCACACGGTTTTCACAGTCACATTTTAATCTTGAATCTTTATTATTAAAAAAATTGTATTCTTGAAATTAAATGACAATAATTTGAACAGGAAGACTGCTATGAACATTCTATTTAATATATTATATATATATATCATTAATAATGGAATATTTACAAAATTCTTCATTGTTTGGATTTTAGTTGCCACCTGATTTTATAAGGTAATTCAATTAAGGGGACGACCATTTGATATTCTGGGGGGGGCCAGGAGGATTTTGAAAATAAATAACTCAGCCTTGATAATCACAAAAATAAATGGTTTGTTCTGTGGTAGTTTGAAAATAAATTACCTGACTTACAATGTATTGAAAATAAATAACTCAGCAGGTCTAATCGAAAGCATGAGATGGCACCAGATTCTTCATAAATTCATCTTTTTTCCAAAAAAAAATCGGGAAACACTTCCCATATCTTTTAATAATAAAAGTATAAATATTATTTAAATATACTTGAAATGTCAGAAAATTGGTATCATTTAACTTGAGGTTAATTGTCTCAGGAACACTTACCCCACTTTTATTAAATCAGGGCCGTAACTACATTGAGACAAATGCCTCATGTAGGAAATATCAAAACCAAACGCTTATCTCCATATCATATTGTGTTCACCGTGAGTGCCTTGCAAGAAGCAAGTTCTGTTCTCCCTCAGACGTAGCCCCTGATTTTTCGGGATCAATGTTTCTTATTTATTTGTCTTTTGTTCATTGATTGCCCTTCTGTATTCTGTTAGTGTTGCATTCATTTTGTAATTTAGTAATTTTATTATTAACTTGATCATGAGTTTAAAAAAACACAGCAGCCACAGACTTAACTATGTGAATTACATTTTTGCTTTATCATGCATACATGTATTTGTCTTTTGATGTTGCTCCTAGAAACTTAAGTCTCACACTGAATCTATAACGTGATTTTTTTTTGAGACCAAAATATTGTCATAAAATTATTAAAACAGAACTTGCATTTTCAGTTTAAGAAAGGGTCTGGGTAACACCCAGAAGGCATGATTTTGCATCATTTGTTCTATAGCTTCTTGGGCCTTCAGTGGTTCAAAAACCCTTCAAAAAAATTTTGCCTCGCTCCGCTAGGCGAAACATGTTTGCCAATACTTTTAAAAGAGCCTTAGTTACAACCAAACTTTAATACTGTGTATGAATGCAATACATGTATATGCATTGGGGAATATAGAAGATTCATTTCTGCAGAGGATAATAATTAATTCTGATTAAATGGTACATAATGACTCGACTATACATGAATTATTTATAATAAACAAATAATTTAAAAATTTTATGTTTTTCAATATTATAAATATAGTTGTGAAAATAAATAATCAGTCCCTTGCTTTAATGAAAATGAAAAATCTTGCTTCAATAGTGCAGAAAATAGATAATCTGTCCTCTTAGTTTACAAAAATAAATAACCGATCCAAAACAAATCCTCCTGGCCCCCCCAGAATATCAAATGGTCGTCCCCTAAATGTATTTGATGTCTCCGGTCTGAAACCTTGAATGACATGTTAATTGGCTTGATTGGTGATTACGACAAGTGTCAAAATTGGTTAATCTAATTAAATTTTGATACTTAAATTGTGTCTGTGAACTTTCTAAGGTCAACATTAATTTTGGACTCAAAAATTTAGAATCTATATGTAAATGCTACATATTGCGATATAAAGTTTCAGTTCAACGATCTCTAAATGCATATAAAATTTGGTAAAAATCCGAAACATTGTCAAATGATTGGAGAAGATACACACAAAACATAAGAATCCAATAAACAGTCATCGGACTAGAACTTTTGACAATTAAAAAGACACACTTATAATATGTTATAAGTCAACTCAAATATTACTGTCCTACAACAACTTCAGATATCTTTTTGAAAGTGTTTGGTAGCCCTTAGCACAGGATTGTTTTATATATAACTCTAATGGAGAAAACTTTGATGTACAAGCATTATACCCAAGTTTAAATGATTGTTTGAAACAACTCTAGATATCAGCTTAACAAATTACTTTAATCACTTTAATAAAGTTTAATTATTTGTTGGCAACAACTTTAAATAAATGTCACATTAACCATTTTGATTATTTATTGTAACAACTCTTAACATAAAAATTAATAAAAAAAAGTGACAAAAAAAAAACTGATAAACAAAATAAATTTAACAAATAATTACGTAATGCATCTAAATATTTTTCAAAAATGAATTAAAAATTACAAAAAAGATTAAAATGTATTTAAAATATAAATTATCTTTGTATATTATGATTTTAATTGCTAGGGGTTTTCGGTATGATCCCAATTATTGGCCATTCAGTTGGGGGCGTACGATAGTGAGTCGACCCTAAATAGAAAAATTAAATTTTATTTGAATAATAAATGTCAAATTATAAAAAGAATGAACAATAACATGATAATAATGTCTGATGTATTAATATTTCGAAGTTCTGTGGTAAATTTTGGGTGTTCTGTGGTATTCTGTGGTATTCTGTGGTGTTCTGTGGTAAAAAGAC